AAGCAGAACTCAAAATTAATGCAAAAGGACCTATCAACATATGCATATGCAAGTGATTTTTTGTCCTCCTAAACTGCGCCATTTCAGTTTAATAGAAGAAATTCCACCAGCATGTTGACAATAACAATAAAATGTTTTGGTCAACTGGTGGATGGTTATTTATTTATTTGTGGTTGTGAATGACACTGTATGAAGGGAGAGTTTATCCAGTGTTCACTCGGATGCTGCTGTATTATTAGAGGGCTTTTGAGTTTCTCTGACTTTGCATCAGCTGAATGATGTTTTTCAAGGTTGACTTCAGGCTGCTGTGGTCACGACATAATTTAAATGTACTATCAGCAAGCCTCTGCCCCCAAGCCTCAGCGGCCACAAATACTCGGCTTTAAACGAATTGGACTCCACCGTCTCTGGAGTCTGCTGTTATCAAGTCATTTCACAGGCCATTTCCTAATTGCCATCTGAAGCCCATTCGAGCGTGCAGGTGCTCTGAAGAACACTTTAGCATTCAGTGTTTTCGAGTTCTGCTCTCGTTTTTCGAAAGCAAAACGGTGGAATGGATTTCTGCCAAATTGGAACATGTTGAATAAACACGCAAAGAGGCTTCAGTGAAAAAAATACAGACAGCTATTTAATGAAGAGCACATAATTGTTAATTCAAGCTTGATTTCTGTGCATTAGGGCCTATGTATGTTATACATGTTATGGTTATAGTGGGTTGAACCTTTAAAATCTTACCTGTTGTACCTTTTTGTTTTATTGGGTTTTACTAAAGGGCTGGTTCTGCTAGACATCAGAAGTGACCTTTTTTCATCTCAAAGTCAGCTGTCAACCACCCAGAGGTCACAGTCTGCGATCTGAGTGCTGACTGTCACCACTCTTGTCCAAGGCTTTGGGTTGCACAGACATTTCCGTCTCCCACCTTCTGCTCCAAACCCCTAGAAACAACCATATGGGGTCTTGACTCTGGGCCCGTGACTCATGACTCGCCAAGCAACAGATGGACGCCTCCTAGAATATACTACAACAGCTTCGACTCACTCTAGTGAACATAACATGTCTTATTCACCCTGAACCTAGAGTCAGATATGGTACAGTGCATGTCTAGCATGCAGCGACAGCCACACACTGCAAAAAATTATTTTCTTACTTAGTATTTTTGACTTGTTTTACAATACAAATATTGTGTTATCTAATCAATGTTTTCAAATCGAGTTTATTGTAACACGTGTCTAAGGAATTGGCAATAATTTAATAAATGAATTGCTGTTATTGCAGATAGAACTGAATTGATCAGAAGATTTAGAGATCGTAAAGGAGGTGGCGGGTTGTGGTGAGAAACAACAGACAGGCACAAAGTTAAATTTGTACTTGGAATGTAATTGTTCCTTTTGATATAAAGTGGAAATAATAAACAAAACAAAAGAAAGTAATTTACAAAATCATACAATAAAGATCAACTAGGAAAACTTCCCTTGAGTGCACTCTTCTTTTACCCCAAAAATATACACAGACCGGTCAGAAATGTCAGAAAGAAATAAAATTAATAAAAAAGAAATGAATAAAAGAAATAACTTTTCTCTCAAAATATCACAGCTGTCCCGATAAGGACTTCGGTGTCAATCAAATGGTTTATGGGTAACCATATACCATCAATAGTTCAATGTTCTGTAAAGTACTGATCAGTTTCTTCTCTTTTCCCGTCTCTTTCTTTTTTTTTTATTGTCAGTTCCCTCAAGGAAGGGAACTTAATTCTTTAGATTAGGATCGGCTTGCTTCATAAAGCAAGGCTGATAATTGAAGGAAAGGATATTGTCCTCTTCTTTATGATGTGTCGTCTTTTTTCCTCTTTAGCAGATTTGGTTGGCTCGCCATCAAATGTGAAGTTTCACAGGATGTCACAGAAGATCACAGGGGTGTCACGAATCCGTAGAATCAAGAAGAAAATAAAAAAAATAGAAAAAACACAAAGAAAAAAACCTGGCCTTGATCACAGACCAGAACATTCATTTAGTGAATTCAAGAATAATTTCACATGAAAGATCAAAACCAATCAAAATAAACATACAATTACAAATAAAATTTTTTTACAACAATGATATATATACACACTCATTAACCTCTGTATCAAAATTTTTTTTTCTTCTCTTACACAGGCACGTGACCAACAATGGCGTCTGTGAACTGCAGTGAACAATAACCATGCGGTTCACTATGACCGCTTAGATTGAAATAATGAAATTAAACAATAACACGCATACATATATCATTTTTACAAGAAATGATATCAGTTATTTACCTCTATAATCGATTTTACTCTTACACACTCGCGTGTGACCAACAATGGCGTCGTGAACTGAAATGAACAATAATCACGCGGTTCACTATGACATTTATAACTACTTAGATCGAAATACAAATGAAAAAAAATGGAAATGAACACAGTTTACTGCAACTAAATAACCATTTTCCATCTTATGGCGTTTTTATACATTCTTTTTACCATTGATTATATTATGCTGACTCACCGAGTAAAATGTGACTCAACAATATTCAATCGGCATCTTCAGATACTGGATGGCTCGAAATAAATCAATTCTAATACTTTGGTACACTTTTCGGAGGATTTTTAATCTATATTTCTTCAAATTAGATCGCGAAAATCAGATCACGTCTTTTCTTCTGTCTCTAGCTCATCTCTTCTGTCTTTACGCATGCTCGTCACCACGCAGGGGGCGCAACGACAGAGAGCTCTCATTGGTCAATAACTAATCTTCTAAATAGGATAAATTGACTAATTTTTAAATGTTCTTTAATAACCTCTACACCTCTTTTCAACATTTATTAGAGAAATATGATGTTACTAAACTGTGAATAAATTAAATAATTCCCTTCAATTACACTTCATTTAACCGGGGTTACATTATACTTAAAACAAGAAAACATATGTCAATATGTTGAGGAACAAAAAGTGATTCAGAGGGAAAATGAGTTTTGATGAATATTTAAAAAAACAGGACTTTATATCTTGTCATTTTCTCAAGTAAATTTAACTTGATTAATGATTCTTTAGATTTTTTTATTTATTAAAAACACAAGACAAAATACTTGTTTAAAAAGAGTGTGCAGTGTGCATAATGCACATCTGCTTTATAGAAGAATAATTCGCTCAAATATTAAATATAAAAATAATTTACTCTTGTCTTCTTTTGCCTTTTTGGTAAGGAAGAGAACTTTGGGATTTGTTCAAATCCCGCTATTTGCAATTTTTTAAATATAAAACAGAGTTATCAGTAAAACTGTCTACAACCCACATTAAATTACACAGACTTAGTGGTTTAGGAGATAAAGTGTTGTGTTTTAAACACAGGAGTCCTGAGTTCAAATCCCACTATTGCCTACACTGAATTATGATTATATCAAACAAAGCACCCCAATGCCAACTTTCAGTGTGAACACCACAATGATTCAGTGGTTTAAATCCCACTCTTGCAAATGTTAAATTGTTGACAGTATTTCCAACAAAATATCCTAAATGCCATCTCTTGTTGTAAAAGCCATGATGGCATAGTGGCTTAAGCATACGTTATTTGCAGACAAGGTTGCGATGGGATTATGGGTTCAAATCTGACTATTGCATACATTAAAATTGTTGTCATTATATCCAGAAAAGTGTCCTAAATGTCATTTTTTTTGTGTGAAAACCACAGTGGTGCAGTGGCTGAGCGCACATTAGTTGTGGATAGGGGTGGCACGATACAATTTTTTCAGAACCAATCCCGATCCGATACCAAAAGTTCTGAGTATCGGACAACACAGATACCGATACCAGCACAGTTTTAAATTTTTTTTTTACATTTCTATACCTCAGTGTGTGTTGACCTGATCATCACTCTTTTGTGTATTACACACAATCTACTAAATATAGACAACTTCATTATAAAGAAAAATAACAAATTAAAAAATATATAATCATAATCTATGAGAAAAATACTATTATAAACTAGGTTCGTGGATAATTCAGCAGCAAAAGTTACTCTACCAAAATGATGAGTTCACAATAATTTTATAAAATCTAAACATTTAGAGGAAAAACATTATTTAGTGCGGGAAAAAATAAAAGTAAATAGGTGTAATCTGGTAAAATGTTACACATTGCTCTTTGTATTGTAATATACATTCATGAAAAACAAGTAAATATAATTATATATAAATATATGCAATAAATTAAATACATTTCTTTTACATTTATAGCACCGTAATGAGGCAGCAACACATGATAGATAAGACTGAACATAGTGCACGGAAACTTTATGGTGCTTTATAATGTTTTTGTGCCTTTCGTGTGGCTTAACAATAACACAGAATAGTATACGCAGAATATCGGATTTGAATCGGTCTCGTCTGACCGATACCCGATCCATCATAAAGTGGCAGTATCGGAGTAATACCGATACTGAATATCGAATTGGCGCACCCCTAGTTGTGGACAAAGTTGCAGTGGAATTATGGGTTCAAATCCCATTCTTGCATATGTTAAAGTGTTGTCATTATTTCTAACAAAGTGCCCCAAATGCCTTTTTTCAATGTAAAAGCCATGATGGGGCAGTGGTTAAATGCACGTTAGTTAGGACATGGTGGCAATGGAGTCGTGGGTTCAAATCCCACTCTTGCATATATTAAATTGTTGTCTTTATATCCAACAAAGTGCTCCAAATGCCATTGCTCAGTGTGAAAGCCATGATGGTACAGTGGCTAAACACACCATAGTTGTGGGCATGGTTGCAATGGAGTCATGGGTTCAATCCCCAACTCAGTGTGTAACTTTAATTGGTTTATTGTAAAATCCCAAGTCAGGGACAACTGAATAGTGAAATATAAGTTCCTGCACATGTTCATACAAGAGATCTGTGGCTCAGTGGTAAGAGCACTGCCTCGTGGTTTCAGAGGTTGCTGGTTCAAGTCCAGCCAGATCTCCGTGATATGAGTGAATGATCAGGGTGTGAGTGAGAAGGTGTGGGGGATCATGGCATCCCCCCCTGAGTTCCAGCACAATGTCCAGCAGGGGTTATGCTTCTGCCTGAAAAAAATAAAATTTGCTATAAATTTTTTCAACCCCCGTCCCTTCCCCACCTACTTAGGTTACCATCATTTGCTTTTCAAAGGAGGGCTCCTTCAAAAAGAAAATGATAGTAACCTATGCATTTACTAGCCAACAACACAGACTGAAATGTTAATGTTACCTGTGCATCAGCAGATGTCCATCATTACAGTCAATGTCTGTCCACATGTCCCAGAGCTCTGTTTCTGTTGGCCAGATGTAACGGTTCAATCATATCCCTTAATCTGCAGGGGAAGACAAAAACACAGATGTTACTTCATATTGTACTTGTAAGAATGCAGCTTGGTGTCTCAAGGTTTTTGAGTTCTGTTTGCCTGCTTTAACTCTACATTGGATCGGTCAGTATTTTGATTCGGTTTGTTTGCCCAGGCTGCTACAGTGGATGTTAAGTGCGATACACAATTATCTCACTTCCTCAGGCATTTGGATTCCTCCATTCCATTCTGTCTCCTAACATTCCTCCATGTGCCCAAAGGATTGTGGTAAATCTGATAAGAATACATGTCAGACTGCCTGAGGTTTTCAGCCCTGAGATAACACCTGTGTTTTCTGAGACTGCAGCATCCTGTTGTGCAACAAGGCTAGACTGAGCTGATGTGTTCATGTATTGTCAGGCTTTTCATTCAAACTGCTGAAAGTGATGGCTTTCCCCTGTTCTGTGCCTGTGGTGACGACAAAAGGCATGGTGTTTATAGTGTTTTCAGACAGTCACGGATATGTTTAGATGTGTGATATGTTCCAATCTGCTGAGAACTCTTTGTTTTTTATTTCTTTTGGTATGTATTGTGTCATTACGCTGGCAGACATACGCATATCACTTAGTGCTTCAGTGAAAGATTAGAGAGGCAGTCTTTCAGTTTCAGTGAACTTAGCGTGAATTCTATATTCACTACTGTGCAAAATATTGGGGTCTGTAAGATTTTTTGTTTTGTTTTGTTTTTGAAAGGCTGCTTTTATTGATAAACCATAAAAACAGCAATATTCTCACTATTAACTACTTGCTTATTAGCATGCGTATTAGCATATTGGCTGTTTATTAGTACTTGTAAAGCACATATTAAAAGGGAAAGTTCACCCAAAAATGAAAACTCTGTCATTAATTACTCACCCTCATGTTGTTCCAATCCAAACCTGTAAGAACTTCGTTAATCTTCAGAAGACAAATTAAGATATTTTTGATGCAATCCGAGAGCTCTCTGTCCCGTCATAGACAGCAACTCAACTGTAATGTTCCCGGGTCCAGAAACTTAGTAAGGACATCGGTAAAATAGTCCATGTGACATCAGGGGTTCAACCGTAATTTTACGAAGCTACAAGAATACTTTCTGTGCGCAATGAAAACAAAAAAAACGACTTTATTCAACAATTCTTCTCCTCCGTGTCACCCTATAGCGACATTTTGAAGAGTATCACAATGCATGCGCGTACTTTCCTCTGAATGTAAACAAGGCGCAGTGCATGCGCACAAAAAGTAATCTCGTAGCTTAAAATTATGGTTGTACGACTGATGTAACATGGACTATTTTAACAATGTCCTTACTACGTTTCTGTGCCAAGTTTATCATGGTAGTGCCCTTGCTGTCTATGGAGGGTCAGAGAGCTCTCGGATTTAAGTAAAAATATCTTCATTATATTTTTTTCTAAAGATGAACGGAGGTCTTACGGGTTTGGAATGACATGAGGGTGGGTAATTAATGACAGAATTAAATTTTTAGGTGAACTATCCCTTTAATTTTCTGTGATTCTCTGCCAATCTAGCGTAGCGTTAGTTCTGGCAGGTCACGTTAGTCAAGCTCGCATCAGCTGACTCTCAGCTGATCCCCATCAACCTATGGGAATACGACACCTATCTAAGCATTCATATATAAGGTCCCTCAGTATTATCAGCAGTTTTCGCATTGCTCAATAGCTAATTACCCTCCTCCATCCCCAACTCCTCCTCTGTCAGTCAGGATTCAGCCTTCTGATTCTCCTTTGAATCAGACTAATTCTAAAATGTGTACATAACATTATTGAACTTTAACGATATCTGCAATACATTTATGTTGGTTCTGTTCTGTTTACCCTGGGGGGTTTATCGCTGCTCTCCCTGCTCTCATCCATGCTAGGCTGCATGGATGCGCAGGGAGTTCTTGCCCAGAACAGAACCATACCGCCAATCCAAACTGTATGCTAATTGTCAATCATCTTTGACGATAGTGGTCCTGACAGAAGTTACAGAGGGATTTGGCTGAGCGGATCCACAACAGCTTTGCCGGCTATGCTCTATTGCTATAAACTGTCATGATTGTTTTTGCATTTTTATTGGTTTGCTTGCATGTGTTTGATTTCATGCACAAGAAAAGCTGTCTGTGAATTGCTCACCCAAGTGTAAAAATGCGCTGTTGCTGGCAGATCTCGATTATCAACAATCACATTGTATTTGATGCAAAACTAACTTGACTAAATTTAAAAAAGTGACTGTATATTTTCATGTTTTCTCAAGCATAGCAAATTTGAAAGTCCACTGATAATGTATGTTCTTACTTTTTTCTGGCTTTGACAAAGTATTGTGAAGGTACACGTTATTTGGCCACATGATTGAGCAAACTAATCAAAGTGAAATTTTCAGAGGATTTTTATTGTTCCGTTTGTTTTCTCCATACTTGAATATATACTGTATGTGTGTGTAAGCAAATGGGAAGGCACTGTCACCTAATGACTATTTCTGGCAACCTACTTTTAAATCGACACCTACCACTGTGTTTCTTATTAGTCGTCTCTGATAAATGACTAGATAGCATGCCCGGTTAAAGAAATCACCACTCACCACTGATACGGCCCAAATTCTGGACTTTGGGTGAATTAAAGGCAGGTGAAAATATCATATTTTCATGTATTTCCATAGACCTTATACGTCAGAGAATCAAGTGTGCAGCCATCTTTAAAAAATTTGTCTTTGAACTTCCATTTTTGCGGAAGCACTATAGCCTCACTGTTGAAGAATAATTAGCTGGTGAAGTGAATTTACTTATTGTTAACAAAAGACAACAAGCACAGTGCTGAAAAGGGGTGGGGCTACATAAGGTCTATATTAAGACATGAAACATATGTTCAAATTTCTGATCCAGTCTTTGGGCAGTGAGAGTGGAGACAGGTGAAACTGATTTGTTTGCTTTATAAAGACTGTAGAAGTTTAAAGGGAGAGCTACCAGGGTTCTTCATTTTTGTGAGAGAGGAAGAGTAAACTGACAATAGATTAGAATTATTATGGGAGAAGCTAGAATAAAAGGCTGAACATGTTCTTTCCCCCAAACCAGAGGATAGATAATAAAGTATAAAGTAGATACATCACAGATGATGACCCTCAATGCCATTTGCTTATCACGTCTCCCACTTTAACACACCTACAGACGCTATAGTTTTCCTGGATCAGAAATAATCTTCAATGGTACCTTACATACAATGTCCATTTACATTTTCTGAAGAAATATGAGTGGTTCTTGCCTATGCAAAAAGTGCTGCCATAATATTAGTGTTTTCTGGGTGTCATTGCTTGCAAAACTTTTCATATAAGGTCTTTCTGTTAAAAGATATTTGTCATGTTTGACTGAATCCCTAATCCTAAATACGAACATTAGTATGTTGTTTTTTATTGCTTCAATAAAACTGGCCTAAAAATTACCTTTAACTAATAATCCGTAATAATTGACATAGTTGCAATTTGTTTACATGATAGATGATTTCATCTAAATTTACTTTGTAATAATAATTTGAATTATACTTTACACATCAATTGTTTTTTTATTCTCAAATTTGATTGACTAATGTCACTAATCTCAGTCAGGGCATTAGTGGTGAGGATTTTTTCAGTGACTCTTTCTACAATTACGTTATTGCGCCAGTAGGTGGTACCAAGTGACTTTATCAGTCTTTATGATTGAATCATGGAATCTTTCAACCGATTCATTTACAAACACTGATTCATTCAGGAATGAAACAAGTGAATGCCTTTATAAGTGACTCATTGAATTACTGAGTCAACCGATTCATTCAAAAACACTGATTTGTTTAACAACAAAAGTAACTGCCTAAGAGTAACTCATTGAATCATTTGTTTAATCGATTCACAATAACTTGTTTGATTTTTTTTATTGTTAAACATTGTTGTTGTACTGACATATTCTCACAGGCAGTGAGTTTACAGTGATAAATTTGCTTTCTCAGGTTTTCAATTAATTGAGAACATATGGATCTCATCTCAACAACAGCTGCAATGCTTTGTTTTCGAGCCAGAAATAACAATACAGAAGACTAACCAGAAAGGGTCACCTTGTAAAGTAATTTTTGAACCTGTCAGTAACTGAGTTTGTCTGGGCAGAAGGCCATACTGCCTAAAAGATGTGCTGCTGATTTGATCAATTTGCATGAAAATTTATAAAAAACATCAACCATCATATATTTTCTGATACATGTAAACACATAACTGTAGTTCTATCTTAAGTGCAATGTTAATTTTGCATGTACCGGTACTAAAATATACCCCTTATATTCTTTGTGTTAACTAAATAAACATTGCAGAATCTAATAACATAATTCTATCACTGTTAAGTTATTTTAAAACAGTAATTGCTAAAGGTGTACTTTTCTATTACCTTTTAGAGTCAGCATAATGCAATACATTAATGTCTTAATTATATTTTACCTCAAAGCCTACTATGTAATATTTGATAAGCAATTTTTATATTGTTAGTAATATTTCAAGATGAACATTTATTGGACTGAATCACACAACTTTTCTTCAAATTGTGAATGGATTGTATACAAAAAGCGAGCAATAGCGCTTCAACAAAACTCGCAACAGACATGCCTGTGACTGGCTACAATACTAAACCTTTGCCTTCTATTATCAATGCTGAAAAAGGCTTAATGTTTTTTGTGGAAACTGATAGGCTACAATTTTCAGGATTATTTGATGAACAAAAAGATCAAAAGAACAGGAATTATTTTAAATAGAAATCTTTTGTAACATTTTTTTTTACTGTAACTTTATAAAAGTATTTATTATTGAAGTACCGTTATTGAAAAAAAAAATCTTTAAAAAAATGATTAAAATTAAACTTTATGGGTATCTTTAACTTCATATGAACAACATATGTCAGATATGAACAACCAGGACTTCAGCAAACACGATTCGCAAGCTCTGTTAGTTTAGGCTAATTCACTAAAAAGAACCATTTGAATCATTCGTTCGGGAATCGGACTACATGCGGTGTATGTTTTGATTCACTAATATGAATCGCCAGTCAGTCATACTACTCTAGTTGCTTTGCACTGAAAGTTTATCGGTTGTAATCTAACTTATACAGTCGTCATTTTCAACAAAACTGATTATCGGTTCATAATTCCACGTAGGAACGCCTGGTTACCAACAAGAAAACCCTAACAACGCCTGGAACAGACTGTCATTAACATAAGTAAACAATGACTGTCTGACAAATACACTGCGATTAAATGGAACAGCGTCAAGCGACTCACCTGTAAGTACGTTTCTGCTTGAAGCTTGTCTACTCGCATGCATTATAAAGCAGTAAGGCTGGTTAAAATGTCTATTTTTTTTTTTTTTTACAATAAAATGTCTTTAAAACGACTCCGTTTTGCTCATAGCGATTATCTCAAAATCCGAAGATCGATCTTTTTGCTCCATAGCAGTGTTTCCTGCACTGCTGTCTTCGAGGGCGCACCCTTGCGGCAGACGCACGGCACAACAACTTTGCAGTTCAAATTGAATGTGATGAGAGTAAAATATGATTGTATCCGCGAAATAATGCAAGAAAACACTTCTTTTTCTTGAGTTGTCACTGTTTGCATCACTCTGATTATCTGTGTTTGCGCGTTTTCAGAGAGTCTTTCTGCTGTTTATCTCGTTATGCCAGTAGGAGCCGTGACTCATTATAAACATTATGATTCAATATGATTCATTCAGCCGATTCGTTCACAATACTGAATCATCCAGGAACGGAACAACACTGATATTGTTTTTGGCAGTTAGTCATATGAATGCAGTTTGCTTGTAATAATAACCCTCACATATATAGTGCAAGTCAAGGATTAAGCCATGTTCAAATCTGCTGATGTTTATGGTGAAGGAATATCTGGGAAATCTTTCTAGGAAAAGCTTTACCATTCTAAACATTTACTTGGACACAAACTTTAAAAACTAATACATGTACAGTATACCATTTATGTATTTTTCTTTTTTTATTGGTTTATATACAAAATATATGTTTTTGTATACAGTATTTGTATTTTCGGCATTTTGTATTCCTTTTTTCTGTTTAACAAAAAAAAAAACAAACAAAAAAAATTTCACCACCCCGGGTATTCAGCCTTTCAGGCATCAACTGAGTGTTTCTGTTGAGTGATTGTTATCCCAACTTGGTGAGGTGTGAGTTGAACTCTTGCCTCTGTTCTAGTCCGCAACTAACATGTGTTTAGCCGTTATCGCCACCATGACTTTCACACTGAATGTTGTGTTTTTGGCAGCTTTGTTGGATATGGTGTTTATTATGAGTTTAAAAGTTGTTGGATTTGAGCCAGTACTTTCATGTTGGCAAACAATTATCCTTTGCGCCACTTAATTGCTGAATATACTTGTAGTTGTACTATATGTGTATGAATTTAGGTTAGATTAAAACAAAAGCTTGTTTCTTGGGGGATTTGAACCCACAATGGTGCTGGGGTTTGGTTTGTTAAAGACCTGTTGTTAACCACCACTCCAAATGGTCTCTTGTGAAGATTGTGGCATTTTTGGAGGGAAATTGCAGCCTTTTGCTTTGTTATATAAAGGAAAGTTTTCTTCTGTGGGATTTGAACATAGACATTGGTATTGGAAGACAAATTGATTACCTTTTGTGCCACTAAATTACTGAGCAGTTGCTCATAGAAGTGTGTTTATGATCTTAGGTAAAGTAAAACAAAAAACGAGCTTTGTATCTTTGAACCACAGATGTGTTGGCGTTTGGCTTTATCAAAGACCTGCTGTTAACCACCACACCAGCAGGTCTTTCATGAGATCAGGTGACAATTTTTTAAAGAAAATTCAAGCCTTTATGCTTTGCTTTATATAAAGGAAACTTTAAATGTTATGGGATTTGAACCAAGATGTTTGTATTGGAAGGCAAACAATTATCTTTTGCATCACTCACGACAATTTGTTACGTACACTTGTAGAAGTATATTGTGTATGAATTTAAGCTAGATGAAAAGAAAATTTGTACAACTGTGGGATTTGAACCTATACTTGCATTGTGGTTTTGTTTGTCAAAGACCTGCTGTTAACCACCACACCAGATGGCCTTTTGAAAGTGGGGCAAATATTTTTTGGGGTGAAGGCACAATCCTTTATGTTTTGTTTTATATAAAAGAAACTTCAAAAGTTATGGAATTTGACCCAAGCCTTTAATGTTGGAAGGCAAAAGATTACACTTTACGCCACAGAATTGCTCAGCAACAAGAACTTAGGCTAGGGTAATAAAAAAAAAAAAAAAAAAATTTAAGGGATTTGAATGTGTGTTTGTGTTTTAGTTTTTTATTGTCAAAAACCTGCTATTAACCACCACACCAACTGGTCTTTTAGGAATGCTGCTTGCATTTTTTTGGTGAAAACTCTTTGCTTTTATATAATGAAACCTTTAAACATTATGTGAGCTGAACCAAGACATCCAGGTTGGAAGGCAAACAATTATCCTGTGTGCCGCTGAATCGCTGAATGTCAGCATCTACTTGTGCAAATATATGTGTATGAACTTGGGCTAGGTTAAAGAGAAAGACTGATATCTGTGGGATTTGAACCCACATTTGTGTTGTGGTTTTGTTTGGCAAACACCTGCTGTTAACCACCACACCAACCAGCCATTCCCAAAAGAAATGGCAAAATTTTTGGGATAAAACAGAAGCCTGACATGACTTTGTTTTACATAAAACTTTAAAAGTTACATCATTTGAAAGAAGCCTTTAAAATTGGAAGGCAAACAATTACTCTTTGTGTCAGTGAATCGTTCAGCATGTAATAGTACTTGTATATATGTATGGACTAGCGGGAAAAAAACTAATCTGCTTGATTTCAACCTATGCTTATGCAGTTATATTATTTAACAAAGACCTGCAATTAACCACCACATCAACTGGTCTCTCATTAAGGGTTAGGGCAGTTTCAGTGTGTGATGTTTAATATGATGAATGAAAAAAAAAAAGATATGAGTGGCAGAACTCTGAAAAAACATTAAAAATAAACTAAAAAATAAATATACATTAAAATCAGCATTTGTGTCTTGATTGATGTTGGCACCTGAGTCGCTACCATCTCAAAGACAAGGATGTTCTTACTGCCCCTCTCAACAACATTATTTTAAAGATTAAACGGAACTTTCAAGAACGCCACCTTGAGGTGCAAACGTAATAATTCATCAGTTTGTTTTAATTCAGCATGACCCTTTATTTTTTTTAGATACAAACACAAAGATGGTGACACAATAACAAACTAATTAATGGTTAAAATCTTGTGGCATAACACGAAGGTGACGACAACTTCACAGCAAATAATGAAGTAAAGAGTAAAAACATTGAACAATCAAGCAGTAATTTGCCTGATTCATACATACAGCGCATTCTGGGAAACAGAGTCCAACAAATTGGTGCTGTAAAAAGTCTAACCTAACACTTGGTAGCAGCAAACAATACTATTCCAGAAGTCCAGCTACAAAATAGCTCTCTTCAGGTGTATTACTTGGTCAGCGGCAACCAAAAACAGCGCCATCATGTGTTTGACCGGTGCATTGCCCACTTGGGGAGGTGAGATCAGTCAATGTCTTAATCAGGGGTGTCAAACTCAGTTCCTGGAGGACTGCAGCCCTGCGGAGTTTAGCTCCAACCCTGCTCCAACACACATATCATGTAGCTTTCAAATAAGCCTTTAGGACTTGATTAGCTGGATCAGGTGTGTTTAATTAGGGTTGAAGCTAAACTTTGTAGGGCTGTGGCCCTCCAGGAACTGAGTTTGACACCCCTGACCCCTCTAACAAACACTTTGATTTTAACGCCTTGTTTGCAAGAATGCTGAAAAAATGTTCTTCCAAACCTTGATTCAATGAAAAGTGAATCACTTTTTCCTTTGGTTTTGAGCCAGCAAATCCAGTCCATAGTCAGGACTCAAACCCAAACTTTTTGTGTTTGAAGACTACAGTGCTCAATACTGACCTGCCAGCTCCTTAGATCACTTCTGGTAAAGTCTTATGGCATGAGTAAAAGCATAATTTCCAAGCCCCATGTATATGACTGAATGACAGTATGGTGTGTAAAACCTTCAAACTTCAAGCTTCTAAAATCATTTTTAACTTTCAGAAAAGGCATTGTCAACTTATTTTCAAAGTTTGTCTTGACGAACTTTACCCATCTAGTTGAATGACTGGTTTGTCTTCAGGCCTTGCTGAAGTTGATAGTTGTGGTGCTTTTTTGTTTCCCTTTTTGTATCTCTATCCATCTAAATGACCAAGAGAGAAATCCAACCATTTTTCCTCAGTATCACACCCTATTTTCCCACGAAAATCGATTGATTTTGTCTGGCTATTAATCATTTAAAGTATCATTCAATGACAACTGGAAGGTCCTTGCCTCCCCTGACAGGATTGATTGATGTGTTTTGAAGCCAATAGGAGGTACAATGTCAAACTTTTAACTTGATAGTAAATGTCAGATCAAACATTAGCCTCACGGAAAGATAATAGTCAAGAGATGTGGATTTTTATTGTGACATTCATCCTCTCATGAAGATAAATGGAAATTTTTATCTTTGCAGGCGTTTAAGTTATAAAACTCATTATATCAATGGACAAACATTATGGGCAAATTGCTCTCATGAATTGTAATGTCTAGTCGTGAAAAAGTTTCTGTGTTTGCAGCTTAGATCTAATGAGATTTCCAGAGGGTTACTGCTAACATCATTTGCATTCTGCCTGTCTTTATAGTTTTTATGGTCCTCAAAACAATGGTAGTGTTTAGACAATGTTCAGCATTCTTTCATAGCACTCTTAATATTTCTTCATTGTATAGTATTTATAACGTTTGCCAATTTTTCATAGAGTACTGGAATAACTGGCTACATTTGCAAAAAAGAACATTTTTGATGATGTTTTAAAAAGTAGGCAGCTGGTCATTATGGCAAAACAAACTCCAATAGGGAAACCATTGTGACCAATCAGAATCAAGTATTCTACTCATTTTAATTACTCATTGAAAATAAGCTTCATATTTTACATAATGTTAAAACCCTTGACTAAAATAAGGTTTTAAAGGAGAAAAAATGGAATGTACTTTAGTATACTATACTAACTGTAATATAACAGTTTCTCATCGACTTCCTGAACACCTTACCGTGTCTTGACCTCTCACCCATCATGGTGTGACGGCACCATCAGCAGAACGAATAACATGCAGACAACTTGCCACAATGATGTACTTTTAACGCAGAGGAATGTGAAGAAAGTGCACTTTGCATGAAGGGCACTGCTGTTGATTCGTTTTAATGCCAGCCTTTG